GTTTCCATCCCTTACTGGTAAGAGTTCTGATCTATTAATAAGAGCTATTTATTTCTAGACCTAAAACCAATCAGTTTCGTAAACCATTATTACAATTGTTGTGCCCTTTATGCAATTTTCTTTACCTTCCTTTACCTTTACAATCTTCTTTACAAAAAAAAATTAGCCGTATGTATGGATTAATGGCTATTTGACCCAATTACATATACAAAGTGTTTATTTTTGCTTGTCCTCCAGATGGCTGCTATTAACAAAAAGAATGCTATTTTTAATTTTAGACATTTACATTTTTAAATAATTGCATCCCAGGACACATAGCAATAAAATGCAAGACAAACAGAAAGGCTTGTGTGTTGCCAACAGTTTTCTTAAGCTGCAAGGAGTGTGGTAACTCAAGGCATGTCTATACAACCTCTGTGCTGTGCCAAGGAGGGCCGCCAAGAAATACATCCACCCACTCGATCTCACTCTACGCACACTCTGTGCATGTACACAGAGCCACTCTTAGGCTGTTTCAGGCATGCTTACCGGCATGGGTTCAGGGCTGCTCTAAACTGGCTAGGATGCCTCATTCCCAGGATTTGGAGTGTGTGAATGAACAGGCAGGACCTGTTCACAGCAGCGCTCCTGCCTGCCCCATGGAGGTAGTGTAAGCATATTATTAAGGGAATCTGGGATGGGGTAAGGAAATCTGGGACTGGGACTGGGACACCGCCCCCCTCCCCCCCCCCCATGTGCAAAACACCTCCCCTTCCTAACCCTGCGACTCCCAGGAGCCCTGATGGCAGGGCAGGGTGAGACAGCATGGAGGCCTGTGGCCAGTCTCCCTCCCCTGGACCTGGCTGGAAGTGGCCCTTCCCCACCACCACTAGCTGCTGCCTGGCCCCGCCACCCACAGCAGCAGGGCATGAGGCTGCCAGTGGTGGGCAGCCATCCTGGCTGAGGAGCAATGCCCAGCCCAGCCGCCTCCCCACCCCTCCACCCTTGCAGCCAGTGTTCAACAGGAGCTGGCCCAGATACTGCAGGAGGCAGCACAGCCTCTGCCTGTGGCAACTGAATCCAGGACTCTTGCTTCAACGTACACCAACTGGCCAGAACAGCCTATGAAATCTGGGACTGTCCCCAAATCTGGGATGTAAGGTCACCCTATGCAAGCAAGCTCTTCATGTTGCAAAGTGCAGCTGGCCTGTTGCAGTTGTGTCCAAGGTGACCAGCACCTGAAAGGGGACAGGTATTTTACGCCTCCAGCTAGAGGGATGAGTAAGCAGAAACCTACCCCAGCAACAAACTGTGAGATAGGATTGGCAGGAGAGTTTTTATAAACACAAACCAAACAAGGCAATGCAAAAAAAAAAAAAAAGAAGTGGAATAAACAAAAGCTCCCCAGCCTTGCAGATTAGGCCAGACCCAGTCCTCCAGATTAAGCATTCAGCTCCTCCTTTTTCTCTAGCAGCCTTTACTTCAGTGATTATCAACCATGGTGTCACAGCATCCTGGTATGCCATAAGTTTCTTTTAAGGATGCTGCAGGGTATTGCGTAATATTAGTATGGTTATGTGTGCACATGCCTACACAACTCACAAGATAAACAAAGGGATTTCAAATAGGAATCAACACCATTCAGACTTACTGCACTCTTTGAGTTCTTTGCAACAGAAGAATTACTCTATTCATTTTCCACTGAGTGAAAGCTAAGAGCTGGCATTTTCAGAGGGGTGGCTTGACTCTAATGAGACTGAGACTGCCTTAGTGTCATAATTCCTTGGACACAGGTTGGTCAGAAGAATGGAAAGAAAGAACCAGCCACGTGAGCTTAAGGCAATCTGAGATGATGTTACTCTGACATCACTTCCCTAAACGATAATCACTTTCAAAGTTTTAATCTTGAATTGAGGTTGCACTCTTTTCCCCTTGCCTTTTACAGTCAGAGTGGACAACAACATCCTGTCTAGGAGTCAGCCCTGCAGTTTGGGCATTGTGTTTGACTGCTCTGTCTTTAGATCCATGCATCTGGACGTTATCTACATTCTTCAGCTTTTTCCTACATAACCACTCTGAGCAGCAGCCCTTTTTCTCCATTTACACAGTTAATTCATACCCATGCCCTCCTCATTTTGCATCCACTTAGTCACTTAAACACTCAGCTTCAACCATTCGCCTCGACTTTACATCCCTGTACTGGATCCCCCTCCTCTAACTGATCATACACTTGATCTGAGCCTTCAAGAGGCCAAGAAGCGAATATAGCTTTACTTTTAAAGCCCTTTCACTGGCCTACCCTCCCACTTCCTACCATATCACCTTCTACATGATAAGAGATATTAATCCACATATTTGCTCTAGCAGTGATACCAATCCAATTGCTCCATTTGTCAAATTTTCACCCATTTACCTTTGTGCTTTCTCCAGCGTCCCCGAAACTGCAAGTTTTCCTTCAAATCCCTGTTTAAAATTCACTTCTGCTGCAATACCAAGAAAAGATCCACCACAGTTAGGCAGCTTCAATGAAACTCTGACTTTATTAAATTCAATGGCAGAACTGCACCCACTATTGAATTTAGTGGGTCTACAATTTCTTTCCTGGTTCTTTCCTGTCTCTTATCATGCTGATCTGAATCATTTCATTGTTATCTCTGGCCCCTCCCCTGCCTGTGTGTTGCAAGAAGTCATTTCTAGTCTTGCACTTGGTATGCTCTTCAGGGAAGGGACTTTTTTTTGCTTTATATTTATACCGATATGGTGCCTAGCAGAATGGATTTGGAAACTTTTTGCATTAGTGGAATACAAATAGTAAATTCTAATAATTGTACATGTACAGTGTAATCAGTTAAATTCCAGTCCTGTGCTTCATTTGGTTTTCATGTTATTTTATGCCAACACATTTTTATAGCTTTTTGGAGCCTGGTACACATTTGTATTCATAGACAACGCATGGGAGGGCATGTGCCTCCCCCCAGATCTCTGTGCCGACAGTGGGGTGCATGGCTGCAGTTTGGCTGGAGCCAGCACCCAGCAGCAGTGAGGGTGGTGGTGGCAGCGGCAGCACAGAGTTGTGCCCCTCCACTGTCAACACATACACATAGTCTGTGCTTACATTTTCAGCATCTCAAAACTTACACTCTCTCACTAGATTTATTTAAACGTATGAAATAAACTCTAATGTGGACACAAACCTCACGTACTAGTCTTTAAGCAGATACCACATTTTTTAACTATTTATTTGGACATGAGGAGTCAGAAAAATTATACTTAAAATAGAGCCACAACAATGGAGTGACTAGCACACCTCCATAGCGCTGAAGGTCAGCAATAAGAACTCAGGTAACAATCTGGCTGATTATGCAAGAGGCAGAAAAAAAAGCCAGCTCTGTCCTTTTGCTGTCCTGGCTCGCCAGTCATTTTGAATACCATTTAAATACCACAGGGGTAAGTGTTTTAGAGCGATGGCTAAGACACAATGCAAAGTTTCCATCAGTGAAGTAACCAGGTTGCCACCTGAGGGTAGGGAGTGTAACTATGGGGCTCCATCTTCTTGAAAGGGGCCCTCCTGGATGAGAAGGGCTATATCGTTTTCTAGCTTTATACAACCACTCCTCCATGGCAGCTGTTGTATAGCTGGCAATACAGCAACGTTTTTAGGGTTTCTGGATCCCTCAGTAGAAAGGACATTCTTCAAGGCTGACATAAAATGTTCCCTCGGAGTATAAAAGACTTACAGTACAAGTCCCAACTGCCAGATCTCTGTGGTCAGCTTAAACTCTGGTCTCCCCATAGCACTGCGATTACAATGGAGAATTCTGCTGGGCACCAATTTGTGTTGCACTAACATGGAAACACCACTTCCTCCTTTCTTCCCCCATTAGCTGCAGTGGCAATGACAAAGTTAGTTGCCTGCACACAGCCCAGCACACAGGAAGCCAGTGTTTGCTACATCAATATTTCTACATTTGATAATAAAAAGGAACTTATCGTTGCTTCAGACACACATCCTCATGGAATAAAAAAAAAAAATTAATTCTCAAAATACTGTCAGTAATTTGTCATGAGGTTTCTAAGAAGGCTGACAAAGCTTAAATTTAATAAGCAAAAGTATAGCTATAAAATAGTCCTTCATAAAGTATTCAGACCACATTGTCAAAGATAGATACCTAAAGTTAGACATGTATAGGTAAATGTACCATCCATACATTGATTAAGTGGCCCAATTTTCAGAGTTGTTGAGTACCCACAGCTCTCTTGCCTTTTCGAACAATTTGTCTTAACATTGTTGTTTTGCACATGCACGTCTTTTTACCTTCTCAGCCTAAGCTGAGAGGCAGAATTAGAAGGCAGAATTAGGCAGAATTAGAAGTTACATATCTTCCTGAGAATTTAAGAGTTGAAAAAGACGTGCCATGAAAAAAATTGAAGAGATGAGCCGCAGAATTGACTTAACATACTTATCCTGCTTTGCTCAAATGGGGCTCTTACTGCTACAACCAATGGCTCAAAGATTCCCCATTGTAACACTTCCACCCAACTATTGGTCTGGCTTGGGGGGAAAGCTATCTCTAATTAGAGGTCCTAGAGAGTAGACCAGGAGGTGATTAAAAGTACCTACACAGGAAGGTTATATCTGACATTAAAAAACCCTTTAACACAACAAATAATAACATAACAAGATCCAATGGCCAGAAGCTGAAGATGGGAAAAATTTTAATTGGAAACAAGCAGCACAATTATGAGAGTGAAGATAAGCAGCCTTAGGCCTAGATTACCAAGGCATGCGGTAGATTCTCCATCGCTTGGAACGTTCAACTCAAGATTGAATCTCTCAGAGACCTGCTCTGGTTCAACCACAACTCACTGGGCCCAAGAGTATTTACTCATGTAGCAGGGAAAAACAGTTCCTTCCGTTGCACAAATTTGTGGGTGAAATTTTACAGCCTGTTTTACGTAGAATTTCAGAGCAGGTGATCAGAGGGATCTCTTCTGGCTTTAAAATCAAATCCAAGTGAAGACAAAACGTAGTCTGGGAGGACTAAACCTACGTTCTTGGCACTTGATTTCAGCACACATTACTTCAATATGGAGAAATGAAACAACACGGTCGATTTGCAGAAAAATATTTTGGTAAAAGAGCTCCTGACAAACATGTGAAAGAAGCAGACTATGATGTCAGTAATTCAGTCACAAGATTTTAAGGCCCCCCCACCGGGGAATGTTTGACTGTGACCTGACCTTATCCATAAGTAGCAGATGTAAGAACAGGATTTTTGCGGTAACCCTTTTTAAACTGACAGAATATTTAAGGACATCCCTGAAAGCTAGCTCCTCAACTGGCTTTTTACTTTCCTAATTATCTTTAGGAACTTAGAGTTGTGTGTACAAACACACAAATAATACACAATTAAAATCTGTAGGAAGGCTGATATACAGCATGGTACTTGCTTTTCTGTCTGGAAATCCTGACAAAACATTAGTTTCATAGGTTGAACTGGGTCAACAGTATATTCGCATGACAGATACACAGCTTTTTAATGTCTAGTTAGCATCTTATTTTACGACTACATTCAGTTTTATCAGCATGTCCAGAGCTTTGAATGGTTTTGATGGGACCGAGACTGATGAAGGATCACCTCAGCAGTAGTAATGCAGCACTCAACTTACATAATTTAGAAATAAAAACCAAATATCTAGAACCTTATTTGCTTGCTTACACTTTTACCTTCCTTCTCAGATTACTACAAAAAGCTTATTTAAAATCACAGCAATAAATATAAACAGTAATTCTGCCTTGCACTTTCCATAAAATTACAGAAATTGCTTTCCAATTGCAATTAAGGTTTCCAAAAGCCACATGGAGGAAAGGACTGCATTTTGGGCACTACTTTTTAACCAGCAAGTTCAAGTGTTTGGGCAAAGCTCAGAGCAGTTTTGTTTAACTTTGTGAAAAGCCAAAATGAAAAATACTCAACAGATTGTCTGAAAAATCCAAACAAAACCAGAAATACTCTATGTGCGCACCTGTATGAAGTTATATTTATGTAGAGCTATGTGAAAAAAGGACTTTTCCCCAAATGTCTTCAGTTCATTTTGTGTAATTTCACTTTTCCATAGGGCTATGGATATCTTTACCATACTCACGTAACAGCACACATAGGTGCCAACTCAACAAAAAATCAAGCAGATGTAGAACAGCCACTGTTGACTTTGTCTTTTGTTATAACATGATAACACCCTATATTATCCCCATAATCTGGCATTATGTTGGGATAGAAAAAAAGAGGACCTAATTTAGTATGACTGCATGACATTTTACTGGAAGAATTTCCCTCACCCTTCTTTCACAGGTCTGATAACCAAGTCAAAGTGGATTCTCTTGACACTGCTGAGCCCATGGCATGGATTCAGGTAGCCAAAAATATGGAGTGACAGAAAGTTAAAAATTGGAAAATGCACCTTGAAAAGCTGGATTTAAATTTTTCACTGACAGCTCTGCAACAAAATATTTCATGCCTAAATTAAACTGAATTTGCAGAAAAATAAACTTGATTATATGGAGAGGTTGTGAACTAAACATCTAGCCTTACGGTGGGCATCATAGAGGACAGTCTGGTTGTCCTCTATCCTCTACTGATACGAAACACAATGCCTTTATGTCCTCTGTTTTTCTCATTGGGTGTCGTATCAATAGAGAACAGGGGACAGAGTAGCAAAAAACCAGACTGTCCTCTATGATGGCCACCCTATCTAGCCAGTTTGCACCCCGCCCCCGTTTAAAGATATGTTTAACATGGTCTCTTTTACAGCTGTGCAGATAGGGACAGCCAGTACATGGCAACAGAAATTTTAATCTGCTTGAGTGTAGGCAACAACTGTGTGGCATTTATACACATGCCATATACCATTAATATTTATCTCTCTGCTCTTCCCTCTTGAAATTGTGAATACCACAAGTACTGCAAATTACAATTCTGTTTTACAAAGACACTACATATACTTTCACAGCGCATCTTTAATTTTGACACGAACATTTTGTATTGAGATTTCAACCCTTAATAGGCTTCTTATAAAAGTAATTTCTGCTCCTCCTAAATAGGTTCTCTTCACAGATTAGCTTTGCATATTGTGTATTACATGTTTTCCACTTAATTTGGTGCTTTTCTATTTCTAAGCATAAGAAAGTCTTTTAAAAAGAACAAATGTATTGACTTAAAATCTGTTACTCTGCCCAAATCAGTCACATATTTACTATTTGAAAATCACTGTAATTTAAGGCAAATCAAGATAGACCAGATTTTAGACCTCAGTTTTGATTCACTCTTTTTCCTTTCCTTTAAATATTAACTGGACTGAATGGAGATTATACAACAGGCACTTTTGTGTACCCTGTTAAGTAAGTGAACTAAAAAAAGCCCAACCGCCCCAAAATATCTTTTTCCCTGGTCTCTCTAAATATTTTTCGTGCTGGCTTATTATAAATAAAAAGCACCTTAATGTT